CGTCGTCGCCGGCCTTGAAGTAGAGCGCCTCGTCGACCTGGCTCTTCTTCCAGCCAGCGCTCAGCAGCACACTGTTGAGAGCCTTGTACCACAGCAGCGGCGATTGCTTTAGCTAGTAGAGGCTCTTCATCAGCTTACACACCCGGCCAGTCCCATTGTTGAAATAGTCCGGCTGGTACATATAAAGCACCTTGTCGAGCTTGCTCTGCAGGAAAGCGTTCTTCATGTCGAGCTGCATCAGGTTGAGGTCGAGGACGGCGACGATGCTGAGGAAGATCCTCAGCGTGACGTAGCTGCTCACCGGCGAGTACGTCTCGTCATAGTCGGCACCGTACACCTGCGTGAAGCCCTTCACGACCAGCCTCGCCTTCTTGCGCTCGACGGTGTCGTCGATTCGGTACTTGGTCGTCAGCACCCACCGGTTCTTCATGATGTTCACCCCACGTGGGCGTTCGACCAGCTCCCAAGTGCCCATGCTGATGAGGCTGCGAATCTCTTCTTCCATGGCGGCCTTCACCGCCTCGCCAATCCAGCTCGACGTCGCCTCCTTCACCGTCATCGTGGCAATGTCCCAGCATGGTTCGGGGTCGGGTGGATGTCGGGGTCGAGCTCCGTCAGGTCTTCATCCTCCTCGGCGTCGTCGTACAACAGGTCGTCCTCGACCTCGTCGAACACCGTGGTGAAGGCAGCTGGCGCTAGGCAGGCGTGGAAGCTCAGCCGCTCCGGTGGCCGTCGAGCTCGTCCTGTGCGTCGCAGCTCAGGCTTCGTGATCGGCACTTCCACCACGTCGCTTTTGGTGGACTCCTCACCCGCCGACTGCTCCCCTTCCTCGTCGACGTCCTTGTCGTCGACCAGCTGCTTTGACCCGTCGTCTGGCTGCTCGTCTGCTGCTGACTTCGACAGCTCCCCTGTCGACCGCCCCGACTGCTGCCCCCCTGTCGGCTGCACCGCTGCTGTTGCCTCCTGTTCGACCGGCTCCCCTGTTTGCTACTCCCCTGTAGTCGACGGCTTCCCATCCTGGTTGATGAGTTTGGCGCCTTTTCGACCGCCGGCGATGCCATGGGCCGGCGCCACAGGCGACGCCCCATAGGCTCCCCTCATCGTCGGTGGTCGACGCAGGTGCCGACCTAGGCCGATTTGTGACGGGGAACGGAGGAGCAAGGACAGGGGGAGGGGGAAGAACCTCCACAACATCCACATCAGCAGGCTTGTCAACTTCGGCGAGCAACGGAATTGTCGCCGTCGAGGTGTCCGACGGCAGGTGCGCCTACGTCCGCCCCGATGCCGGCCCATACGTCGCCTTCCACACCTCCAGCGACAGCATCTCGTAGAAGATCACCTCGACCGACGTGGCCACCTTGTTGTCGGTCAGGTCGAGCACCTCCCAGCCCTTGCTCTCCGGCGACACACCCAGGTCAAGTCCCCAGCGAGCCTTCGGCGCCAGCTTCCCACCACGTTGCTGCTCGGAACCATGAACTGCACCATGCAGCCCCACACCCGCGCCAGTGTAAGATCGGGCTTCTGCCCGGTCAGCAGCTGGTACGGAATCGTCCCTGGCGGCGTCGTCGACAGCTCCAAGCAGTTACGCACCCAGACCGCTCGTCGTAGAGCAAGGTGCCACCAGTGGTGCTGCACGCCCATGTGCAGCAGCATCGTCCGCACTGACTCGACGACCGTGCGCATCTCCCGCTGAGCCATGCCGTTTGCTACGGAGTATAGGGGCACGTCAGGTCGTGGACAATGCCCTTCCCGTCGACGAAGTTGGTGAACGCCTTCTCCAGGAACTCCCCTCCTCGATCGGAGCGAAGCGATAGCACCGACTTCTTTGCCTGTCGTTCCACGAACACCAACCATTTCTGGAACTCCCGCAGCACCTCGCTCTTCCTGGTGACCAGCATCACCCACACAAACCGAGTGAAGCGATCCTTCAGCAGCAGGAAGTACAAGCTGCCATCCTTGGCAGCCACCCGAAATGGCCGGCACAAGTCAATATGCATGACAGCCAGTGCCTCCTTGGCGTCCGAGCCCTTGGTGGGGAAGGTGTGTCGCGCCAGCTTTCCTCCGACGCACAAGACACACAGCGCGTCTGCTCCGGTTGACGGCGTGATATCGAGCCCTGTAGCCACTTCATGCCTGGCCCAGCTCTTGATCGTGTCGACGCTGACGTGCGCAAGCCTCGCATGCAACAAGACAGGGGTCGTCTTTGTCGCTGAGACAATCGTCTGTAGAGCCACCACTTTAGTCGACGGCGACCGCGTCAAGAAGGGGCGAAGGTCAGTGCAGAGGACTCGTCCGGTTGAGCGCGCTCTACCGAGCACCTCCCTGGTCGCGGCGACGAGCAGCATCTTGGCGCCATTGCCCTACAGCAGCATTCCGCTCTCCTTCAGCTGGCCAGCAGACAGCAGGTTTGCCTGTATGCCCGAAACGTAGAGTACGTCGGGGATGAGGACCCGCTTCCCGACCTCCCCTTGCAGAGCGACGGTTCCATGACCCTTGACAGGCTGCAATGCCTCGTTGAACCCACGCACGTGCTTCACCCCGTCGCTCGGCCCCATGTCGACGAAGACCGACTTTGTCCCCATCAGGTGGTAGGAGCACCCGCTGTTGAGCAACACCGCCATCGGGTTGGCCTGCAGAGCTGCCGCCACCGCCTGGAATTCCTCGCCAGCCTCTGGCGCCAGCAAGACCGTTGGCTCCACCACGCCAACCATTGAGCACGACGCCTCCCCGTCGCCTCGGCTCTTGCCGCTGGAGCTGTCGACGTCCTTCGTCGACGACATCTTCTTCGACGCTTGCTTCTCCTTGCGCGGCTTCTCATCTTGATGGGGGCGACGACTGGCCGATCGACCACGGCCTCCCTTGTTGTCGTCCTCGTTGCTGTCATCGCGTTCAGGGCACTTGAAGGAGAGATGGTCGGGGTCGCCGCACATCCTGCACTCCCGCCGTTGACCACCACCTCGTCGACCCTTGTCCCGCGTCGATCGCTTCTCGTTGACGTCCTACTACCTCCGCCCGGCTTCCCACGCTGCTTATGCTGACGATTTGGCTTTGTCGGTGTAGCGTAACTTGCCTGCGGAAGGAACTCTATGGGCTGTTCTGCCTCCTACATCGCCTCATCCTCGTGATGGTGATGGAGTCCTCGTCGAGGGACTCACGCGTGCCGGGCCATCATCATCCTCTTCATGAGATTGTAGCTACGCGGCAGGCCCTTGACGATGTGGGTGATGTAGGACGCCGTCGAGTATTCGGCGCCCGCCATCCGCATCTCAGCCAGGATCCGTTGAGCACGGTTGCAGTAATCCGTCGCCGACTCCTTCTTGCCCATCCGAATGTGAGTCATTTTCTCCTCCAGCTGCCCGATGTACAGGTCGTCCCTAACCTGGTACGTCGACATGATGAAGTGCCATGCCTGGTGACCAGCATCGAGTCGCTCTCGATAGCTCCTGTGCGCCAGCTGCACCAGCGGCGAGCAGCACCTCGAGATGACCATGAAGGTGAGCAAGTGAGCCGCTCAAAACTCCCCGCGCAGCTCGACATCATCCACGGACGGAATTGGCACGGTGCCGTCGGCGAAGCCCTTCAGCCCGGCGACCTCCAGCTGAGGTTCGATTGACTCCCTCCAAGTGATGAGGTCCCGTCGACCTTGCAGCGGTGCGACGGTGATCCGGTCCAGTGAGAACTTGAAGTAGCCATACGCCGGTGCAATCCCGCCTGCCGTCACATGCGTCGTCGATGAGAGCCCCCCATCGCTTCATAGAGGAGAGCGACGTTGAACATCGACGTCGGCACGCGAGCTGCCTGCAGCCGCCGTCGACCGCTGCACTCGTGCCTGGATTCCGTCGACACCACCGCCAACCTTGATCACCCCTCTCTGCCTCGTGGCTTCGCTGCTGCTGACTCATGCACCATTGTTGACCTCGTTGCGCACCGGTCGAGGAGAAGCAGGACGGGAAGGGTGTTCCGTCGCCCACTGCGATCGGATGCCCAACTCGGCGATCACCAAGGGGATCGTCCCGTACTCGCCATCCGCGTGGCGTCTCCTCGCATCAGCCAAACGTGCTTCCAAGGTGTCCGCTACGCCCGCATCAATTACGGGGTCAACCATGGCGAATAATGCTGGTGCCGGCCTACGAACGACATAGTAGGTGCAAAATTCGGCTCCTATCTGAAGGTAATTTGCGGGGCCGTCCACGCTCACTACACCATGTGGAGAGTCACTCTACAATGGTAGTGAGCTAGACTACAGGGTTGGCACGAACAACTAGGAGTGATCGTAGCTTTGCTTGCGTTCCTTAGCACTTGCACATTCACGGGAGAAGCTGGCAAGAGTTTCACTAGCAAAGTTGAAATTACTGAATGATTCAACAAGCGTTGGCAAGAATGACTACATCAGGCACCTAGCAACCCTACTGCTAGCCTGGTCGACCGCCAGCGCAGCTCGGTCGACCGCCTGCCTGCGTTGCGTAGAGGAGCCGCGCCAGCACTGCAGAAGGGCGACCTGCCAACAGAGCAGGTCGATGGCGTGCCAACGCTGTAGCAGAGCGGCTGTCCAGCGTTGCCCCGTAGAACACAGCAGTGCGCACGCTCACAGATGCGCGCAGACGATTGGCCCAACTTGCCTCGTTGGGCATCCGTCGGCTGTTGTCTGCGCCTGACGAGCCACATCAACTCTGGGATACCAGCCCGCAGTCGCCTGCGCTGTTGCATCCTTGCCGACGTTCGCGTGACTCCGGAGAACTCGTCGAGCAGGTTTCCCGGTCGACCCGGTCGACCACCAGGTGCTTTCGGTCGACCACCACTGCTTCTGGTCGACCACTAGGTCCCTTTGGTTGACCACTAGGTGCCTCTGGTCGACCACAACTCCCATCGAGCTACCCCCTGGTCGGCGGACCCCTTTCGTCGACCGGAACAGTCAGCGGTTGTCGCCAAGCTCCCCTCGTCGACCGCTGCTCACTTGTCAGGCCAAGATTTTGCGGGATCATGACGACCCCAACGGAAGAATGGCAGTCGAATGCGCAACCGCGGTGAACGCATTGGCCAATATTGCAACCGCCGTCACTCCCCGCCTCATTGTGCAGCAGCCGCGGCCGCCTATCGCCCCAGCGCAGGCCTTGCCAGAAGAGCTAATGAAGGCGGTGACGGTGGCAACGCAGCAGTCGTTTATTGCCTCCGAATTCAAGTTAATGACCAAAGTGGTCGGCACGGTGGCGCCTGCTCGGCGTGGGTCGTCGCCGTCGGCGAAGCGCATCCAAAGGAGGCCCAGAAGCAGGGTCAGAGAGGGGGCGGCGGAGGTGGGGGAGACGGAGAAGACGCCACGAGCGTGAAGCGTAGCAAGGGAGCTGGCGGGTCCTGTGTCGCCGGCGAAGGCAGCAAGGGAGCTAGGGAGACTGGAGCTGGAGACAGTTCGGCAAAGTGCTCGGGGTCCCGTCGACCAGAACGCCGCCGTGCCGAGTGCTCCGCCTTTGGTCGCGGAGAAGCCACGAACTCAGGGGAGCGGAGGGAAAGGGTTGAGCCACAAGGAAATCCCCGCCGCCAAAACGGCCCCAGGCGGTGCTGCCAAAATTGGCAACGCGCCGAATGCCAAGATAGCGGAGGTGACATCGGTTCCTAATCAGCCTCTCGCGGGTGCACGCCCTCCGACCGGCGCGTCTGCTAACGTTCCGTCTGCTGACAAGGATGGCCGCGCGGGGAAAGGGGTGGCCGCTGCGAACGCGCTCAAGGACCAGCTCAGGCTCCTTGCGAGCCATTGGGCTGCTCAACTGCCTCCCCCCCCTGTCGATGCACGCCTTGCCAAAACAATAGCTCGCTTTGAAGCCCCCATCATCGCCGTGCCATCCGCCAGTGTGCCACGTGTAGCGCCGGCCGTCGCCGCTCGTACTACTGCAGACCCAAAGTCCGCTTTGCTGCGCGCCCAGTTGGGCATGCGAGGGTCGACTGCGCCAACTCAGCAGGCAGCTGGCTCTAGCGCGACGCCAACATCGGGGAATCACGCAGCACCCACTTCGGTGGCGGCTGATGTCAAGAAAGCGGCGGAGAAGGGTGTGCGTGCTGCGCTTGCTACAGGCGGCGGCCCTGTTGAGGAGGTTGCCCTCGACGCGGATATTGCTGACATACAGGCCCACCTGGATGCGGCCAAACCCCGAACACTGTCCATATCGGGCACAGCACATGTGAGTCCCGCCGGTGGTTCAGCGGAGCGTAAAATGATTGCTGATGCTGTCGGCGAGGGAAATGCAAAGCGAAAGGGGAAGGCGGGCTCGTAGAGGAAAACACGGGAGAAGTCGGAGGTGAGGGCGGCGGATAAAGGGAAGGAGCAGGCGGGGGAAACGGCGGCGGATAAAGGTGGAGGCGGGAAGGTGATGTCGTTGGAAAGAGAAAGCGGGAGAGTATCACGAGAAGTCGGTCGGCAAGGGTACGTCGACAGGGAGAAAGGGGAAGGAGAAGTTGGTCGGCGAGGCTATGTCGATGGGGAGAAAGGGGAAGGAGAAGGCGGTGGAGAAGAGGAAGGAAATGGAGGAGGAGGAGGAGGAGGAGGTGGAGGAGGAGGAGGACGACAACAAGGAGGAGGAGGAGGTGGAGGAGGAGGAGGAGGAGGAGGTGGAGGAGGAGGAGGAGGAGGAGGAGGAGGAGGAGGAGGAGGAGGAGGAGGAGGGGAAGGACAAGGGGAAAGCGAGGAGAGGTCATGGCATCCGCCACGACAGCTTGGGCGATGAGCAAGGGTGGGTCGGTGAGATTAAGGTGCACGGCATTGATCGGTACATCAACAAGTCGCGCGAGAAGATGCAGCTCGCGTATGTGCACTCCATCGCGTACGTCGTCTACGGCGGTTTCGTGAGCAAGGTGCTCATGGATGAGCTCATCGGCTTGGACACTGCCGAGTTGGAGAGGTGGAGGAAGGTGTGGGAGGAGGTCAAGATCTTGCCGACAGGGATGTGGACGGTGATGTGGGCCCGGGGTGTGCTCCTTCCAAAGACACGGTAAGTCGGATACCTTTTGGCCCCAACTTGAGAGAAGGATAATGACGTTGTCACTTATGTTCGTTCTGTTTGATGTGCTTACGTGACGGGCTCAATGATATTCTCGACAAGTATCAAGAGTACAAGAGCTCAAGCGATGCGCTCCACGACGCGCTCTGGCCGGCGATGTGGTTCCCCGTCGAGGGGGTGCCAGAGGAGAAGTCGTCGGCGATGATGTCGGCCATCATAGGTCGCGTGTCCATGTGCGTTGCGTATGGGAAGACCGCTGCGAGCGCGTCAAAGAAGGAGGGAGACGAGGAGGAGAATACGGCGATGGTGGTATTGGCGTTAGCGGCATCCGCATGCGCCGTATGGTGCTTCGTTGAGAACGACGACGCCCAGGTGGTCGATGCTGTGGAAGAAGGGAAGGCGGCGGCACTTATAGCCGGTGCAAGCGAGAAGACCGCCAAAGTATTCGAAACTGTCATGGCGGCGGTGCTGAACGCTGAGATCACCCGGGACCGCCCCCTGGGGGAGGTCGCCTTCAACGTCGCGCCAGTGCTGCACAGTCTTGCCCTGCAGAGGGTCTATCTAGGGGGGAATGGTGAAGACGATGCCGAGGTGGTTGCTAGAGCGGCGGTGGAGACCATGGCGTTCTGGGGAATATGCATCGTCACCGGCCCGAAACTCAAAAAGAGGAGTACCGCGGTGCCGTGTGACACGCAGATGAAGGCCGATCTTGACAACAGGAGGAGGAAGGGTCAGAGGGGGAAGCAGGGGACGAAGGGGAAGAAGGGCAAGGACGGCATGGGGAAGAAGGGGAGGAAGGGCAAGGACAGCACGGCAACGTAGTCGGCGTGCGGCTAGAGTGCTAGGTGGTCTGCTTGCTATGATTCAGTGCTATTTTGGTCGATGTCGTTTTGTTTTGAATTTCATCTCTCAGATATCTTTGATGCTCGTGTAGTGGTTTTTTGTGTGCGTGATTGTCGACTTTTCGTAGGATGTGAAATGGACCATTCAACAAGAAGATGAGCCAGAACGCCATGCGTCCATGCACCCCGGCCTCTTGCCAACCATTTTTTTTTGCGCGGCGTAATGTTCATATGTCGCTGTCCAAATGCATGTCGAGGCCGACGTCATGAGTGTACGGGTTGTGTGTGCGATGCCGTCGGGTTGCAATGTTAGAAGCACACAATCATGCTACAAGTGGTTGCAATCGACAACTTTTACAATGTCAAAACGGGCGTTGAAGTCGACAACTAAAACAGTCTGAAAACTATGAAAGCTGCATCATCATCTATAACATGCAAAATCCCACAGTAACATGTTGCCGAGAGTATTTACGTGGTCTTCTTGCGCTTGGTCGACGTCTTGGTCGAGGGCAGCTGCACAGCGTCCTCCCAGGCCATGTCGGCCAACGTCATCTTTATCTGCTCTTTCCAGGTGTCCGCGAATAGCTTGGCGACCCACTTTTCCGGCTTCAGTCCGCGAGCCATGAACGCACAGGCGACACGAAGCTTGGAAACTTCCCTCTTGCCGAGCCCCTTGACGCCCTTACCTGGCTCGGACTACGTTGCTACGGTGTCCGTGTTGAGCACAGTGAGGGCATCCGAGAAGGTCCCAATGCCACGCGCCGCGATCTTGTTAAGCGCAGCGACGACGGCTTCTGTGTCGGCCTCGCCGTCGCTCCGGGGAAGATGGCGCACTGCATCAATGACCTTTATCATGCGGCGCACCCTCTTCCCGAGTGCTCCATGCGTCGCGCCTTTGAGGAGGGTGTGGCGGTCGACAAATCCCGGCTTTGCGAACCTGTCGCATAGACGACGTGTGTCCTCGGCGCTAGTGCATGAAGTTTAGAGGCGCCACGCATCCCTCACGGTCGTTGCATCCCGCCAAGGCTGCACCACGTTGAGCTCGTAACTAGCCTCTTCGACCGTCTATGGGAGTTTCGGGGGTTTCTTGGCTCTGGCACCTGAACTTGCCTAGTCCGCGGAGCCATTGGCACTTCGGCGACTACTCGTTCGCAGATGGCGGCGCCTCTGGCATCCTCCTTGCTTTTGAGACGCGGAGTACCTCGGTGAGACGGGTTATCTCGGCCGTCAGCATCGCGATGGTGGCGTCGTGCTTCTCGATATCCTCTTCGAGGTCAATCTTCTGGACCGCTGACCGTTCCCTCTCGTACTTCAGGGTCTCGGTGAGCGACATGACCGCATGTTTGGCGTCCATGCGGATAGATATCTCCTGCAATGGTCGGCGATTGACGTTGAATGTGAAGGGTTGTTGCGTTCACTAGGCTTAGGGCGACGTTGACTTGATCAATGGCTCACCTCAGGCTGAATGAGGGTCGGGTCTCGGCGCTTTTTTATCGTCTTGGTGTCGATCTTCTCGACCCTCTTCGCCCAGTTCTAGAAGAGGGGAACCCTGCAGAGCTTGGAATATTGGACGTACGGATGTCAAGGGGTGCGAATGAGGTTCATAGCGACGTCTTCGGCGATGATGCGGCGCAACATCTGGAGGGTACGCCAGAAATGCACGGCGGCGATGTCGGCCTCAGACCCCTCTTTTGCGAGTTCTTCCGCCTGCGATTTGACAACAGAAGCGAGTGATTGGAGTCGGTCGGTCAGACGATATTACATGTAATGTTAGTGGCGTCGATTAAAATACCTTCTTAAGCAGGTCGTCAACGCGGGGGAAGATGTGCTTGGCGATGAGCTCCAGGAGTTCATCGAAGGGTGGCACCCTACTGCGACCCAAGAAGTAGTCTTGCTTGGCACCCGAATAGCCGACCTTCTTCATCACCACGCCGACGGAAATGGCTGTGATGTAAGCTCGAGTCATCTTGTTGATCGCCCAGTGGCCCAGCTCAGCTATCTCGGCGCGATACGTACCGTCGATGGCCAGCTCCTGCGCCCTGCCTGCTCGAGCGACGTGGACGTTCCGCTTGCAGAACACCCCGTTTGTCTTCCACATCTGCCTCGTCCATTGTTGGTGGCTGGCAGCAGGGAGTTCATTTTGCTCCTCGTCGTTGCGGGCGAAGAACATGTGCTTCTTGTACCAGCGCTTGCGCGTGCTGGTGTCTACCGGCGGAATGAGGTCGACGCCGTAAAATTGGCCGATCCGGTCGAGGATAAAGTGCAGCCACAGGCCGGTCTCGCCGACGGCGCACAACTCCGCTTCGAGGTGCCATGCCGCGTAGCTCTACTGAATACGCGCATCCTTGGATGTCTTCGAGTTTCGCGCGGCGATCACCATGACGACCGGCTGGTTTTCCAGGTTCACCAACGAGGTGCTAGCGAGTCGGTACAAGAAGATGTATGGGAGTGTGATCTCGCCGATGCTGGCCCCGCTTAGGTGACTGTGGTGGGAGAGTAGGATAAGCACCTTGACGAGAAGAAACCTCCACAGCGTCTGCGAAGGAGTGGTTGCCCGCGGGCTCCACGTCGACGCCGTCCAGGTAGGCAGCACCCTCATCATGATCTGGCGGAACTGTTCGGCGGTGTATGTGTCGGCGATGGTGTCGCGTCGACGGTTTGCGCAATTCCTATCGATGAAGCAATAAGAAAAACTGAGTTTACGTCGTCGACCACAAATCAATGGCTACAAAACTCGGCGGTGTATGCCAACTTACCTGACGTCACTCTGATTTTTGGTGCGGACCATGACCCGCACCTCCGACCGTACCACCAAGATTTCCCGCATGATGCCCAACTACTTCTCCTTGTAGAGCGTCGCCTCCACCCTTTGCCGCCATCTGGCAGGCCTTGATGCGGCCGAGGATCATGTGCACCGTGTTTGCTTTCACCGACGCGTTCGACTCGGTGTCGATCTTGTACTTGATGTAGGCGCGCAGTCGCGTTTCAGTGACACGCGGGCCATGCAGCTAGATGTACTTACGCCGGACCACCTTCTCGTTGTCCCAATACTTGCTCTTATTGCAGTGGATCCAGTGCCTGATTTCGTCGACGTGCCTCGTTCTTTCCTCACTCGGAAGCTTGTCGCGTATTCCCTTCAGCATCTTTGCCGCCCACCTCTTGTAGTGGTAAATCCAAGAGGTGTACAGCTTGAGTGTGCTCTTAGCCTCTAGGGTTTTCAGGTGGCGCATTGCTTCTTTCACGAGTAAGGCGACGCACGCGTAGACCATATCTTCCTCGACGAAGTCGGCCGCCTTCCAGTGTTCTCGTGGCACCGCCGTGTTTAACAGGTCCTCAAGCTCGTCCTCGTTCAACAGATCCTCTATGAACACACGTTCCCCCCTGAGCTTCTCTTCCAACGTGCGCGGACCTGCTATCGAAACTGAAACGAGAAATGATCAAGTTTAACTAGGGCCTAGGGTGAGAGTCGAGAAAGTTGGAAAGGATGGTTTCACTATAGGTTTCGAAGAACATATAGCAAAGGAAACAAATAAGGTGCACCACCAAACAAAGTCTAAAATAACTACACTAACTACAGCTACAGGCAGTTACAAATATAAGTTCTGACACTCCCCCATAACTGCCTGCAGCAGGAGTTTGTGCAGAATACAACCTGCAGGGGTACACATGCAAAATAATAAACAAGCAACAGCAGGTACTGCAGGCGGGCTAGCACTAGCTGGTCACCCCCTCCATCTCCTCACCCACACTGCTGCAGGAGCAGCAGAGAGGGGGGGGAGAGAGGAGAGGTGGAGGGACGGCTGCTGGTTGCCTCACACTCGCCACCCCGGTGCCACTCCCCCGTACCCCCCACACCCTCACACCCTCCCCCCCAGCGGGAGCTGCAGCAGTGGGAACGAAAGGAGGAGGGGAAGGGAAGGATACGACCCAACACTCCAACACCCGCCACCCCCATACCCTCCCCCCACGGCTACAGGGAGACAAAGGAGGAGGGGGTGGGCGGGAAGAAAGCCGCAGAGTGGCTACAATGTGTCGGCGCAGGTAGGTCAGGGGCGGCTGCAAAGAGAGCAGGTGCGGAGAGGCCCGTCGCGTGCCACGGGGCACACGACGGGTAAGTTTAAGGTAAGGGCACCGTCGTGTGCCTCGGTGCGCACGACGAGCTGGGCACCGTCGCGTGCCATGGGGCGCACGACGGGCAGGTTTAGGGCACCGTCGCGTGCCACGGGGCGCGCGACAGGCAGAGTAGGAGTCACTCGCCAACCGGGGGCGGGACAATAGAAAATCGCCACGCGCCCTAGGCGCGCGACCGGAAAAACGCAGCAGCGGAAGCATGAGGCGGGCCCACAGGCTAGGACGTAACTCGCTCTGATAGCATATCGAAACTGAAACGAGAAATGATCAAGTTTAACTAGGTCCTAGGAGCCTAGGCCCAACTAGGATGTCGAGTAGTTTGTGCCTAGGGTGAGAGTCAAGAAAGTTGGAAAGGATGGTTTCACTATAGGTTTCGAAGAACATATAGCAAAGGAAACAAATAAGGTGCACCACCAAACAAAGTTTATAATAACTACACTAACTACAGCTACAGGCAGTTATAAATATAAATTCTGACACCTGCGCCACGTCGAGGCCATGGGTTGTCTTCGTCGTCATCGTCGCTGGATGATGACGCGTCTTCACATTCCTCATCCTGGTCGCCCGCTCCATCCGGCACCGACGACGGTCCGGCCTCGTCAGTGCCGACGATTTGCGTGGTTTCGTAAATTCCCCTATGGGCGCGGGCGAAATGTCCTTGGGATTTGCGTCGAGATCGTAAAGCAACGGCAGGGTCAACGAGGGGTTAGTGGTCGGTGTACGCTCCACCGGTCGTCCGTCTCCCCCATGGCTCGAAGGGGTAGGACCGTCTGTCATGTCGACGTCGGCCATGTGATTTTAGGCATTTGGTATACCATGAACGTGGATCGTGGCGGCCTAGTGCAGGCGGTACTGAGCCCGTTGGCGGTGTTTATTTGATGAGCTTCGCAGGCGTCAAGCTCGACGCAAATATCTACCCGTGCCAGTTGCACTTTAATGTCGGCGTCTACAGTGTCGGCGGTGGGTTGGTTGGAGTGCGGCTGTGTTGCGCTAGACCTCGTGGTTGGCGGTATCCTACCGGTCGGTCTCCTAAACAATTATCTGCGACGTCTCGTATCAGTCTCTCTGGCTATTGTGGCGACGCCGACTACGACGTCTGGTCGGCAAACCAACTGTCCTGCACGCGTGGAGTGCAAAAGGGAGTAGAAAAAAGCTAAGTGCCAGAAAGTGGGTGGAACGAACCCAGAATGGAAGGCAGAATGAGCGACCTTCAGTGGGGCCCCGGATGGGTATGGTCGTGGGCGACTCCGCACATGCCGCGCTCCACGCAACTCCCTGTGCAGGACGCCGCTATGCATATACCCTCATGCGGCGGCGCCGTGTCCGTCGTGCCACCAGCCATGCATGGTTGTTTGCCAAAAGCGCTTCGCCCAGGAAGCGCTTTTCATGGCTGTTACACGCAGGGTCGTGCCTGCGCTACGTGGCGTGGTCCCAATCTTGGTGCATCCCTCCTAGAATACCGTGATGGAGAATTCCTGCGCAGAATTTCGAGGGCGTTAGGCAATGACGCATGGGACCCCAAAGATGCTCATGTGGTCCACGCCGACATTCCCTCCGCCTGAACATCCATTGCACCTAGCCTGAGAAGGGGACGGTCGCGATGTCGCCTTGAGCATCTGGGTAACGCTGGGAAGGAGGCCGCGTGGTACGCACCGACCTGGCCTTGGTTCAGCGCGAATATTTCCCACGCAAAGCACCCCGGCTCAACAGGTGCTGCGTGGACCCGTCGTGGCTGTCGTGGCAGACCTCGGTGGCCCCGCCAAGTTGGGGACGATCTCGGACGTCCCTTTGTTGTCGCGTGGCGTTAATCGCGGCTCGACGTGCCGAGCTGGTTTTTTTCCACACGCTGCAACGTACTTCTCGGGATTGTCTCAGCGCAAACCTAGGTCGTCAGGTCGTCGTCAATCCCGAAGGCTCGCTAGCACTGAGCCCAGACTGTTCGCCCGAGCTTTCCATGCGGAGGTCGTCGGATGTTTGTCAACCCCGAGGGGGGACGTTGTCCTTTCCCTACCGCGAAATTGGGCGGCCTTTTTGTCGGCTGAGCTATACTATGCTGACACTCCCACCCCATCCTGTCGGTTCTGCCGCACCCCGGAATTGGTCGACGGCACAAAAATATCGCAATGCTGTCCCATCCCGTCTGTTTCCAAATTGTCTATACATGACGCCTGTTTGAGCCACTCCCGGCTGCGGGGCAATTGACTGGTGGATGGGACGCATGGG